CATATACTCAACCATACTTTAATATTGAACAAACAGACAAAATTAGAACAAAAAAATGGTATTAAAAAAATATGTATTACTATGCATACTTTTTGTTAGAACCAATTTAACGGGTTTCCTTTTAATATTTCAACAAAGAAAAATTCTGTATTTATGCGTATTTTAAACCGAACAACATGTCTTCGTTCGCATTTTCATTTTAAATATCATGTATAACAAATAACAATTTCTCGGAAAGACTTACGAATAACGCAGACAGACTATAACACAACAACTACGAGTTAACTAAAAATATTTAAGATAACGTTGCAAAACAGAATCAAAACCTGAATCATAATAACAACTTGTATATAATAAATGAAATATTATAAACCTAAATATGTGCCCACAATATACATATATCAGCATATCTACACACACGCTTTTGGAGCAACAAGTGGCAGAAAGCGTAGCGAAAACCGGGTGGGCCCAACCCAAAACAAACCCCCTTTGGTGCCCCTGAACAGCCCCATCAATGAAAAACCGCAAGTTGTGTAATCGAGCATATGGCGTACGCATCTAATAGATACCAACCGCAATTAATGGCAATTAGATACAAATGTATTTGGTATCCGTGCATATGCTAATAACGTCAACATTTATTTTGCGGTCTTCGTCTGACAAACGATGACGCACGTGGGTGGCGGAGCGAGTGACTCAAGCCAAAAGGTCGCCGAAAGTATTTTTTGAGTACTGGGTTAGAGATACTTAGATACTTTTAAACGCTCACTTCAGCGGAATTTCACTTAGCGAGAAAAATTCGCATCAATTACCTCGGCACGATATTTTTTCTGACTCAATCCCAAAACGAAATTGATTCCAGTTAGCTGGCATTGTTGCACTGTATCTAATGCATACTAGCATGCAATTACGCGACCCCCAGAGCTCCACCCCTCTCATTTAATTGCATAACTCAACCCATGAATCAATTGCAGTCAGCTGATCACTTGCATCTATTAATTATTAGCCGCAGCCACCGATTGACCCGCCTAGCAATTGTATCTATGTATCTCTGCCCGCTGTTTCCGAGTATCTTTGCATCTGCGGTCGACTTTGCCAGACACGATGGCGTCTCTAGTGTGACTTGTGGTTTTTATAGGGCGAGTCTTTAGTTTTTAATGTATTTAATCTCTAGATTTGAGTTTATTTTATTATTTGCCCCACAGCCCCTAAAATACAGACGCACAATATACGTGACTCTCGTCCACATTTTCCGGCTTCCATTTTGAATTTCTAACGCATTGTGTTTGCACTTTGCTTTCAAACATCAATTGCATATTGTATTTAAGCATTGAACTCTCGTCACGTAATCGATATTATTGTTTAATTGAAGAAACCGAACTGCCAAGCCATCCAAACCAAACCAAACAAAGCAGCAGCGAAGGCAACCGCAAAAATATCTCAAGCTAACTTTTAGCAGCAAAGAAAAAGAAACGTTTGCGACGACAAACGACAAACGGCAATAATTAAAAGCAAAGCAAATGCAAAGATGGCATTCAAACAATTTTCTGTTTCATTTAAGCATATTAGCTATCGCACGAGAAGCAAACAAGATATAATTGCAGTTTTGCTGGGTGTAGTTGTGAAGGGATTATCCAGTTCCAAATATCAGAAGGCACGTTGGGAAATTACTAGCCAGCAATAAATTATACACACTAAAACAGTGGCTTAATATCACTGTAATACCGTGGAAGGTTCTCAATGTTTATTTAAGGTTCATTTTTGGCACCATTGTGCAACGTACAATAAAATAGGTTTATTCCGATAGCATTCATTTCCAGTTTCTCTTTGGTTACAAATAATCTTCAATTTAGCATCTAAGAATCCTCAAAAGTTTTAAGTTCTACATTATATTTATGCATAAAAATGCACTAAAATATAATATATTACAATATCCCTAAAGCACGCGGTTCATATGCAGATATATATATATGCTAAATGCATTTGCTTTGGTGAGACTGACACTTTTTATTAGGTTGGTGCACAAACAAATAAATGAATATATAAACAGGGCGTCACACAATGAGTGGGTTGTAATTGCTGTTAAATGATGTAGGATTGCCAGCTGCTCAAGGCACTTCCACAAGTGATTGAATGATCGTCACAGTGCTCTTTGGAGGTTTATGCAATCAATCCGTTGACACTTTCACGTGATCGCATAACAGATGATTCACATCACTTGTCGCTTCGATAGCTGATAGTGCAAATGTCACTTGCTTTTCATTGACTTTAGAGCAATTTATTAAACGCTGTCAGTTGGCTCATAATTGATATTCCAATCGTCGCCAGGAATGAGAACCAAGTGGGTTAAGAATTTAGAAAGCAAATGCCACAAGGTTGAAGACATTTCCTATTTAAGATAAGAACTCGAACTCGAAACAAAGAACTCCACCGCCAGTGCGTCAGGAAATTCGCGTTGCAATGCCAGGGGGATTCGAGTGGGTGGAGGATCGTGGGACTTCGCAGTTGCCTGCTAATTGGCAAACTTTTCCACTTTCAAGTTGCCGCCAATTACTAAATGTTTGCGGAGTTATAAAGTGTTTTTTTTTTCGCAACATATGCGCGGGTGTTCTGTTATCAAGTTGTTAAGCACCAGTTGCCACTTTGATGTCAGTACTCTTTCTACTTTATAAGTAAAAAAGAAAATCAGTCAGAAATAATTATTCTGATAATCAAATTATTCTTTGTTATTGCATACTAAAGTTGTTCCCAATGATTAAGGCAGTTTTCCATGAGAACAACTTTTGTTGGACCGCTTGACAGTTTAATATTATTATTAATCAAGCAAAAACAGCAGTTATGACAAGCAACTTAAGGCTACATTTTTAGTAGTACAAACAAACTGAATAAAGTTTATAGAATCTATTAAGTTTAAGCCAAAAAGATAAATAAATAAATTTTATCATTTATTTTTTATAGTTAAAAATGCATTTGCAGAAAAAACTTTTTAGAAAACATCGTCAGTCAAAAGGAATACAGATTATAAATAATTATAAAAGCCTGATTTAAAGAGTGTAAGGTTACTTAAGAAAAGACCACAACTTATATAGATAAATTTGTCTTCTAATTTAGTGTAATTCTACAAAGATAACAGAAAAAGCAAAGTATTTAAAGCCATCACTCAAGATAACAGTCGTAGAGCACAAAGTAGAACGCGAATTTAAGTACAATAATCCGACGTTAAAGTAAAGTCCAATCTTAAGATCCGGCACTTTTATACGACTTAAACGGGGCAGCAATTATGGGCGGCGATCGAAATTGAGAATTTCCTCTTTCACCCGGTTACTCAATGCCTCGGGAGCTCGAAGCGTAATCAAATTGTTGGCTGCGCTGGCATTAATTTTCAATTTTCAATTTCCATTTGCTCAGCAGAAAATCGAAGAGACCTGGGCCTGACTTTGCGGCTGTATCTGAATTCTATCCGATCAGCTGCTGTTGTCAAGCGCACTTCAATTTGCGTTTTCCACTCTCGTCTCTCTCGACTCGTTTTTCTGTGTCACTTTGGAGAGGCCCTGTCTGTCTTGCCATACACCATATATAGGTATATATGCTTCTTGAGACGACGGCGGCAGTGTCACGTGTTTGTGTTTTGCCATTGTTTAAGTTGGTTTCTCTGTTTTTACTTTTTTGCCATTGTTATTCATTATGTTTTGCACTCGGTTTCAGTTTCGATTTCTGTTTTTGTCAACAAACGGCAGACTGAAGGGGCGTGGCCAGGCGGAGCAGAGCCGGTCAAGGTGGCGGAGCATCAAAATTGATATGATCTATTGGCTAACTCAAGATCGCTTTGCCAAGAAAATTTAAGTCAAGTAATCATGAATATTCCAATTTTCAGGGGAAAATGTTAGTTTATTTATCAATAAAATTATAAAGAAACATCTGACAATGTAAAAACCGAAACAACCAGACAATAATCCTAAAATATGTACACTACAAGGGCAAACTATCTACCTATCATTTTCTTCTATCTTATGTATTTAACTTTGCCAGAAAATGTAGTATAAATGTTATGTTTATATAACTACAAATATTGTATTCATAAGAAATAAATATGGCTATTTGTTTAGCCTTCTCGTAATTAGCCATCAACACTTGCATTGGTTCCCCTTGAAATTGGCAATGTAATTGCCACAATTACAGATAGAACACTTCCTTTGGAAATTGCAGAAGAGCTAACAATGGAATATAGGCCAGGTGTCGCAGAAGCCATTTAGAAATTTCAATTACAGAAATACATAAATAAGTTTTCCAAGTCCAAGTGCAAAACGTTTAAGTAGGTGAGGGCAGGTTATTCTGTTTCCCATTAAATCAAGATTGTAAATATCGCAGCAAGTATGGGAAAAGGCACACCTATACTTTTTCTTTATATTATAAAACATTTAATAAATAGGTCACTTCATTTACGAGACAATTATTATAAAATTGTGAGATTTAATGAAGTAGATCGTCAGATCAAAGGATCTTCAAACAAGATCACAACACAACTTTGAATAAAATAAAGGCAAGCATAAAAATATCCTGAAGTTTTTTGAAATGGGTTAATTATTAATATTTCTTACTTGATGTACAGCAAGGCACTCAAACGTTTATGATACATTATGACCCACACACAGAACCCTAAGATCGCTCAACTAGGCTCCGTTTTGGGGGTTTGAGAACCATTAAGTCAGATTGCTAGGTGCATGATCAAGTGATGATCAGAGTCCAGAACAAAAGCCAGTTAAACCGCATTTGTATATCCGACTATGGCCGAATCTGCGTAGAGCAGAGAGAAATAAAACAATTTTGAATACTCAAATACATGCAATTATTGATTTTATAAGTAATGCCGTGATATCTGATTGTTTTGCGATGCGGCCTGCCCCTTTCCAACCGCAAAACGCCACGCAGTGAGCGAAAAATATTCGCACGTTCCCGGCCAAATGGGAGGGAATCCGCACTCCGAAGTCGAGACAATTCAGTTGCGTCGCGACTTTCGAAGCTTCAGGTCTTCTGCTTGAAGGAGGCAATCGGATTAAAAAGGATTTGGCTGGGGCAAACATACGAAGGCCCAGAGATGCACGTACCTCGGGTGAAACTCTTGATGGGCTCGGCGACCATGTTCGTTTTTGCCATCATCTATGGCTGGGTCATCTTCCCAAAAATACTCAAGCTAATGATTTCAAAGGTGCGCCCGTTGATCGATCAAGGATTATTCTCTGTGCCTTATCTAATGGGGGCCTTTCTCTCAATAGCAAGTCACTCTGAAGCCGGGCTCGGATGTTCGAGAACTGTGGTCAAACACTCCATTCCCACTGCACTTCTATATTTATGTTTTCAACGTCACCAATCCCGACGAGGTCTCCGAAGGAGCTAAGCCACAATTGCAGGAAGTGGGTCCTTTTGTGTTCGAGTGGGTTTAATTACCAGATTTTAATTTATGATATATAATTAAAAAATTTTTTCGTTGTTCCCCCTTTTTAATAATATTTTGAGTGAGTGGAAAGACAAGTATGATTTGGAGGATGATGTCGTAGAGGACACGGTCAGCTTCAACATGCGTAATACTTTCATATTTAACCAAAAAGATTCGCTTCCACTGACGGGAGAGGAGGAGATCATCCTTCCGCATCCCATAATGCAGGTAAGACATGGCGACTACTTTTAAAAAACAAAAAATAATGGTTTAACACAAAGTTTAGTTATTTTAAGAAAAGCTGTTTTTGGTGTAACCATTTTCACTATTAAAACTATTTTTTTACTTAAAAAAATATGGCCCATTTATTTAAAACTTAATTCTTGCATTTAACGAAAACATTTTGGAATTGTTAAATATTATTTTCAATTTAAATAAATTCGAAACATGTCGAATTTTATAGCAACAATTGGCAGAACATTACAGATTCAGTCAACGCATGGTCAGAGCTATAGGCAATTGCATTTAAGGCGCCCACTAATGAGCACGTGGCTCATTGTTATCCCATGTGAATTATGCAAATCACATTCCCAGCCCCAAAATAGCGCACACAAAATTAACCCATCAAATGTGAAAAATAAATTGCTGTGTGACTGTGTGTGGCTGCAGATAGCATCTTTTGTGTTTGCCAAAAGCATTTATTTGAAGATTTATTAGGGTGCGAGTTTTATTTTCCGTAACTTATTTTACAGCCTGGCGGAATCTCGGTTCAAAGGGAGAAGGCTGCCATGATGGAGCTGGTTTCCAAAGGATTAAGCTTAGTGTTTCCAGGTGCCAAGGCCTTTTTAAAGGCCAAGTTTATGGACCTGTTTTTCCGGGGAATTAACGTTGACTGTTCCTCGGAAGAGTTCGCTGCAAAAGCTCTCTGCACGGTCTTTTACACGGGAGAAGTTAAACAGGCCAAGCAAGTGAATCAGACGCACTTTCTGTTCTCCTTTATGGGACAGGTGAGTGTTAAACATAAAAACAAAATCATGAATGCTTTTTTATATAACATATTCTTGTGTCACAGGCCAATCACTCGGATGCTGGTCGTTTTACTGTTTGTCGTGGAGTGAAGAATAACAAAAAGCTGGGCAAGGTCGTGAAATTCGACGACGAACCGGAGCAATCCATTTGGCCGGATGGCGAGTGCAACACATATGTGGGCACTGACTCCACAGTTTTTGCACCGGGCCTGAAAAAGGAGGATGGTCTGTGGGCCTTTACCCCGGACTTGTGTCGCTCTTTGGGAGCTTATTACCAGCGAAAGTCTTCGTATCATGGAATGCCATCGATGAGATATACCCTGGACCTGGGAGATGTACGTGCTGACGAAAATCTGCACTGCTTTTGCGAAGATCCCGAGGATTTGGACACGTGTCCGCCCAAGGGAACCATGAATCTGGCTGCCTGTGTTGGAGGTCCATTGATGGCCTCCATGCCCCACTTTTATCTTGCAGATCCCAAGCTGCTGGCTGATGTGGATGGCCTTAATCCCAACGAAAAGGATCACGCGGTCTACATAGACTTTGAACTTGTAAAGGAATAGCTTTAATTTGAGGATTCGTGTAGTCTTATAACTGGAATTATTTTCAGATGTCCGGAACACCCTTTCAGGCTGCTAAGCGACTGCAGTTTAACCTGGACATGGAGCCAGTGGAGGGCATTGAGCCCATGAAGAATTTGCCCAAGTTGATATTGCCCATGTTTTGGGTGGAAGAGGGTGTTCAACTCAACAAGACCTACACCAATTTGGTCAAATACACCCTGTTTTTGTGAGTTTTTATTTCCTACATCGATATATATTATAGTTTTATATAACTTGTCATTTCATTTCATTTCAGGGGCCTAAAAATCAACTCTGTTCTGCGCTGGTCCCTCATCACATTCTCCCTGGTTGGCCTGATGTTTTCCGCCTATCTTTTCTACCACAAATCGGACAGTCTGGACATTACAAGTATCATGAAAGAGAACAACAAGGTGGAGGCTGTGAGCAATACAAAGGATCCCGATCCCGATCCCATGCCCCCAACTAAGTCAAGGCATCCGACCAACAATTTGCAACCAATTCAAGGGGTCAATACGCAAATTCCAGGCACCAATCCCCCCGATCTCAACAATCTCAAAGTGCTGCAACGAGATCGTTTCTAATCCCTGATAAGCGATCTCTTCACCATAGTCGTAGTCTTTGCACCTGTAGTCCAACAAGAGCTAATAAATTGTGACAGATAAAAACAGAATCGTCTGGCAAACTGGTCGGTGGCCAATCGAGTGCTCGCTAATCGATGATCTTTGATCGCAGGTGACAAGTTCTGTGCGCTCTACTGACACCAATCAACGGAGATCAGCGAAATCGTCTAGCAGCGAAAAACGCATGACCAGTAATTGAACTTCGAGATCAGCGAACGCATGAGTCTGTAAATTGACAAATCGTTTTTTAACAAACGTTTTTTAACAAAAACGAAAATAATTGCGGAATCAGACTTTTGTTTGTATGGCGTTGATAAATGGTTCGCAAACAGAAAACAAAATTTACTTGTTTTAATAATGACTAAGGCAGGTAAATGGTAAGAATTTGATTTGGAAAAAGATTTGTTATATGGCAAATTCTATACAAGGAAAGTCTGACAGGTCTCTTAAAGATATTCTGAATTTACTGTGCTCTAAGTTAATAAGTAAACAATGGACCAAATTCTCAATCAAAAATTATTTGAATAAGAATTAAAATACGACTAATTTATTTGTTTTTTGGTCAATTCAATTGTATTGCTTTGTTTCCTAAATATAAGTAAATATGCTAAATGTCTCATGTTTGTATTGAATAATTTATTTTGGATTTAAACATTAAATTTTATGCGGCTCCACATCTAAGTGGCCGTCGAGGATCTCCTACCAATCGATCTTCCAAGATGGTTGTGTCCTTCGGCAGTTCGACAAACTCCAACAGATCCGCCAACTGTCCACAATCAAGTTCCGCCTCGTCCACAAAGAAATCTTCATCCAGATCTTTTATAAAGATCTCCCTTCCCTTGTCATGGGAAATCTCCAAGTAGTTGAGATCCTTCAATTGAGGCAGCATGTCCATGTGATCAGATGTTATGTTGTCGTAAGTAAAGCTCAATCGTTCCAATCCCTTGGCTGAAGAAATTTTAGGCAAGTCCCAGAGATTCTCAATGCCTGTCAGATCCAGGTCAACTAACTTACTGGCCTTGGGCAGAAATTCAAGTCTGGTCAGATTGGTATTGGCCAAATAGAGTTGCTCCAGATCCTGAGGCTGGGATATTTTTAACTCTTTCAAATTGAGGTTATCCTCCAGTCGGACACCAATCACGCGTCCATCCAACTTGACTGATTCGAGACCACAATTGGTGGCCTGCAGCAGATCAATATTGGCTGTTAAATGGAGACTTTTCAGTTGAGGATTGAACGAAAGAAAGAGACCCTCTATTTTTGAAAATATATTTGAAGGAATTTCTTCTAGACGATTACTTCTGGCTGAGAATTCTGTTAAATGTTTTCGCTGATCTCTGAATAGTTCACCGGGCAGTTCCACCAGCTTATTGCTGTCCAGATTTATGGATTTTAGAGATCCTAGTTTTGAAAAAGTATTCAATGAAATTGTCTTCAGCTGATTGTTGGACAAGTTGATCTTTTTTAGCTTCTTGAGTGACAGGAATATATTGACAGGAAGTTCCTCCAGCTGATTGTCCGACAAGTTGAGCTCTTCCAATTGTGTGGCTAGTTCAAAGGTGTTGCTCTCCAAAACTCCTATGTTATTTCCACCTAGATTGAGTCTTTTTAAGTAATCGGCACCCTCAAAGCACGCTCTTTCAATTTGTTGAAGGTGACACTCCAAGACATCAAATTCCACAAGTTGAGGAAGGTTAAGGAATACTTTTCTGGGCAGATTGGCCAAATGGGAGCTGTGCAGAATGAGAGATTCGTAGTCCCTCAAATTGTTGGTCACCTTTTCTGAGAAGTAGGCAATCTTTGAAACAATAGGAAAATCCAATCCCATACAAGTATTTTCCAGGCAATCCAGACTCTCAACTTCAACTTCCTCGGGCTTTTGTGACTCACAGATCGCGAGACCGATCAGGGCGATCAAAATATAGTTCAGATAGTTTAGTTTCAGCATCTTGGCAGAAGAAGACTGAACGTATAACTGGCTTACAGAGCCATTTTAATACGAAACCAGAACACAACCTTCAAAAACAACCCTACACGAGCCAAACAGGTCTTTAGTGTGTTTCAGTGTTTTGTTTTCTTTGCATTCAATTTTTATTTTTTTTTTTTTGGAGCTTCTCCACAACCCGGTTTGATTTTGGGCTAATAAAATTTTATGATTCCTTTCAATGAATATTAGCAGTGGGGTTTTATTTTGTTTTCGCTTGCGAGCACTGCCGAACGATAATTTCGACTATTAGACATAATACCCGGGCGATAAGCACGTTCTCTCGATTCTCCGAGCGGATCGCTATACCATAGTTATTGTTTATGGCACCAGTTGTATCAGCTGATATGCGACTGTTTGTTGATGGTGTACTTCCATTGCAAAAGTATGCCAAGTCGAGCTACGTTGGGTCTGGGCGATCTCTAATAAACATGAGAGCTGACTCCTAGTAGTTGCTTTCGATTTCAATCTTTTTATGGGCGAAGGTCTAGACTGAAGGTGGTGCTAACAATGCTAACTTATTTATCATAAACATAAACGTTTATCAAAAGGAGGCGAAAATAAAACTAAAGCAGTCCATTTTTGAGTTTTAATTTGTTATCTTTAAATCATTATGAATTGTAATATATATATTTTATAGGTTTTATAACAATGTATATTGCATTATCCTGCATTTGTTCTACAATAAAGTTATAAATTAGTTTAGCAAATCTGATTCCGTATCATCTGTCAAAACTTAGCGATCGTAAATTTGTTTTTTAGATTAAATAGTTTATACAGATATACATATAAAATTTTTTTTTTAATGAACTTAAAACAAACCATATATATTGTTTAAGCCATAAACATTTTCGCCTTAAAAAAATATCAGAAGCACTTAGAAATAAACTGTCATGTTAAAACGACAAGTTAATTGTCGTTTAAATCTGTTATTTCATCTACCCATTACCGATTTCGTCATCAACGCAGTCAAAAAGTTAAAACAACCTTTGAATCCCCTAAAAATTTAGCGCCAGAATGAACAATAAACCTAATGAAATAAATCAAGGGCCATAAACCAAAGGCGCCATATAAAATCACCCACAATAGATCCTCATTTGTACGTGCGGCGTGACCGATTGCCCGCTATATATTCACTTATATATATCGTATTTGTTTACCCTGCAAAACTATTGGGGAAAATTTGATTTGAATAAAGTGCAGACGGAGGGGACAAAGTCTCTCGGACGTACAAAACAACGCTGGTAATTCTCATTCTTTTTCTCGAGGCTTGTATGCAAAGTAATTGCGGCAAATTGAATTGGACAAAGGGGGCACAGACGACAAAATTTATCGCTAAACGAAGTCATGCCGTTTCAATTGAGCCACAACAACTAGTAAGATATGGTAAGTGCCTTGGCAACAACAAAATCACTCTTGTATCAAATAATTTAAAAACCATTGGCTTATAATTAGCCCAATGCAAATAGGCAGAGGAATTGTCGGACATATATAAGTGGAACACTCGCTATTCAAATTGTTTGCCCAAGCCTAGGCCATGAAAACGAATGGAAAATAAATTTTATAAATTTCAACAGGCAAATAAATTTGTTTGCATACAAATTAATAAAGCTTTGCTTAACTTTGCAGTCTTCATAATCTTTTTGTTTTCACTCGCTAAGCTGTAAATAACAAATTGAGCGACTGAAAGCAGGTTGAACGTGTTCTCAGCTTGTTCGATAATATATTGGTTAAAATTTTTTTTCCACTGATATGTCACCAAATTGTATACGCTGACCAGGCAAAATTTCTAGATTAATTTAGTTTATGAGTGTTTTTGGTGTAAAAGATGCGCAAAAGGTGGCATACATTCTTGCTAATAGTTGTTGAGTCCATGCCATTATATATAAATAAAAACAAAACGGCAAACAAAGCATGAAGTCAGTTAACGGAAGTACCAGTACCCTTATCAAGCCGAATCCCGAATGCCCTTCTCTAAAACAAAAATCTTTGCATTGATAAATAATGAGTCATTCGGCCAGCAATCAGTAAAATTGTATATTCAAACCAAAATATAGCCCATGGCAATACAAATGACTTTTACGATCAACAAAATTCTGAATTGGGTTATGTGTAGTAAAAAATATATATTTTAAGAAATATTTCCACGCGCCCATTTTTGCACTTAATTAAATGAGAAAAGCCATTGAGCCAACGTGTATATACACTTACATAAGGGTGTATTTCAATGGCCAAGACTGGGCAAGTGTCTGGCCTTATGTCCATTATCAGCAGCCAAGAGATTTGCACCTTTTGTTCAGCAAATCGCTGAGTAAACACTTCATGATAAGGGAACACAGGGACTGGCTGAAACTGTTGAGCAGAAATGGAACAAAACATTGTTCGGATTTCGTAGGTCTCGGCAGATCGCTGAATGGAGGCAACAGAGCGGGAACTTCACAGAGCAGCGAAAAATAATGAATAATAAATGGGAAACCACAAACATATGTCAAAATAATGATGACAGCTAAATAAATCTGATTTTTTTTGCTTCCACATACAGTACTAGACATTATTAGCATTCCTACTTGTCCCTTTGGGAAGAATAAGTTGTTAATGGTAAATTTTGGTAAACCAATAATTTTAAACTTAATAACGGGTTTTACAATGAAAAAGGTTTTAAAAGCTGATTATGATTCTGATTTAGGATTTCTTATTAAAGTGATATCTATTTAACAACTCGTTTAGGGAAATAGTTATCATCAGCTTCGCAAAAAAAGCTTCGACATAAAATCCCGCAACGAACTGTACTAGTTATATATAAAACATTTTTTTTTTTTTGCAAAATCAAAACACCATGAATAGAATGAAAATTATATAGAACTGATGATCATTATTTGAGCATTATAGGAGGGGCTTATCTGGCGAGGCGTTTGGCGGTCATCGTTTGGAATCAGTTTCGGGTCGAACGTGAAACGTTGAGCACTGTTGAACAATGTACGTCCGGAATTGTTTGCTGTTGCTCTGGATCTGTTTGCTGATCTCGTTGGCGGTCATCTTGGTCGTTGTCGCCGAGGATAAGGACGCTTCATCGAGAATCGTGCTGGTGTCCAGTCTGGAGGGCAATTGCCAAACTGAGGGTGCTGTGACCCGTTGCAGTGGCTTCAACTTCGACAGTGAGGATGAAAGGGCTACGTTTGATTTGCCCACTGAGGTGCGGATTGCTGAGGATGGCACCACCTATGAGGTGGGCGACGAAGAGCCCTCCAGAACACTGATCTTTGAGAACTGCACGTTCACGAACTTTCCCCTGCGACTTTTCTACACGCTGGAGGTGACTGAGTTGGACATGCGAGTGTGTAGCATCCGATACATCTACTGGGAAAACTTCTCCATTGGTGCCGACAAGTTGGTGATCCTTCTGCTATCCGACAATAAACTCGAGGATCTGCCCACAAGCACCTTTAGGGGAGCAGGCAACCTGCAGTTCCTCTTCCTGAATCGCAACAAACTAAGCAAAGTGCAGGAAGGTGCCTTTGAGAACCTGCAAAAGTTGCAGTATCTGGACCTAACGGACAATTACTTGGAGGATCTGCCGAGGGATATATTTTCCGAACTGAAGAGTCTGCGGCATGTGGGCTTGGCCAATAACCAACTGACCACCATTGAGAGCGATTTGTTTGCCCAAAATCCGGGACTTTTATCAGTTGCCCTCCAGAACAACCGACTTCGGGAGGTGGGGGAGTATGCCTTTCGGTCCAAGGGGCATGATCATCAGATGCAGTACGTAGATCTGTCGCATAACCCGCAGCTGGCTGTGCTGCTGCTGAATATTAATGCCACTAACCTGACCGTTCGCAATTGTTCGCTGGACCGTGTCAATTTGTACGGCTCGGTGAGGAATGTCGATCTGAGCGATAATCGCGTGCGGGAGCTGTACTTTCCCGCCTCGGAGGCCCTAGAGCATTTGGTGCTGCGCAACAACTCGCTAACCCAGTTGGCCTCGTTGAGCCGGGTGCCCAGGCTGCGGCACCTGGACGTGGCCGATAATCCGCATCTTGGGCAATTGCCCGAAGGCTGGCAAACGCCGCACCTGGAGATGTTGGTGCTGCGAAACACTGGCCAAGTGGAGCTGCCGCTTGGGGCTTTGAAGGGAATGCAAAACCTGCGAAATCTGGACATTTCAGGCAATAATCTTACCGATATCGATCCCTCCGCTTTTCCCACACTCTCGCAGCTAACTCACTTCTTTATACACGGCAACAACTGGAATTGTTTTAGTCTGAGAACCCTAATGGACGTAGTCATCCGTCCCAATGGCATTACCTTTACCGCGGACGAGGACGATCCGAATTATCCGGGGGAGTACATTCGAGGCATAGCCTGCATGTATCGCATGTCTGAGAAGGAGCCTCTAGACTCCTCCTCGGAAATGTCGGCCAGTGTGGAGTCCTCACCAAAGCTTAGTTATTCCCCTGCTGATCACCAAGAAGTGGAAAAACTGCGTCAGGAACTGAAAACGGTGGTGCAGCATTTTGAGAGCAAGTTCGATTTGGTGCTCAGTCAACTCGGCAAACTGAATGAGCAGATGCAGGCCTTCGAGGTACTTAACAAAACTGTTTGGAGTCAGGTCACCTTGTCAGTCTAAGCCATTTCTTATGTTTGGTTAAAATTTATTGTCTTTTTCATGTGATCAGTAAATTTTAAAAATAATACTCAGTTGTTTCTTTCCTATCTTTGTAACGACGTGTTTATGAAAAATAGTATTACTACATTTAAGATTTTCAATTTCGTCAAAAAAAAATGTAAGGATTTTTTAAATTACTTAAATTCTTTAGTTGTATCTTTCGGTTTTCACCATGGTTTCGTTACGTTCACAAAGACTTTTATTTTAAAAACCAATACTTGCTGACCATGCCCTAAATCTCAATGGTTTTTCCATCCCCAACCCACAAAACCAATGCAATTTGCAACATGAGCACATGGTAAATATTTTTTTGTCGGTTTGTCGTATACTTGCCATAATATTTATACAAAAATATTGATTTTCGAGCGAAGCAAAGTCGGGGCTATGTGTTCTCTTTCTGAGAGATATTGAAAGAGGTTCATTCAACTCGGGCAAACAAACAAACAAATAAGTAAGGAAAAACTAGGGGAACAACAAATAATTGAGGGGCTCAAAAAACTTGCGTAATTGGAAAAAGACGTAGACAATTACAAAACAAATACTTCTCGAAAGCAAACAACAATATTGAATTCAATTGAATGGTTTGAAAATTCAGTAATTTTTCGCTTGCCTACAATTCTGCTCTGCTATACCAGCAGTTTGAATTATTTATGCTTTATTCCTCGGATTCGTTCGCTCACAATTTATGGCTAACTAATAGCTAAGATAAACAAACAGTTTCTATTTCAATGCAGCCACTTGGAAAGGAAGCGAAACAAACCCAATCCCACGGAACATGACGATCACTGGGCGAACTGCTGATCCATAGTATTGTGTGCATGCGATTAGGAATAAATATACAGATATATTCATTTATACACGAATATCGAATAAAGTTTGTGTATATTGGAAGTGCAATTTGTTTTTAACAGTAATTGGCACACAACTCGTGCCGATCGGGCAACTGTAAGTGCGAACATTCAATAATACCATGCTTTGCGGTTTTAGTAGGTATATCCGCAGATCAAAGTTCGGAATTTCCTACCTGATAACTTTAGGTAGATGTCTTCCAATTCTGGGAATTCGCTCAGTTAGCCAATGCCAAGATAAGTAATTGACAGTCCTTAATGATTATTTCATCTTTAATTTGAATATTATTCTCGAAATTATATATTTTTTTTAAAAACAAAAATATGTTTTTAGAAAAAAAAAGTCCTGAGAAATATTAAAACTAAAAAAATATATGTTTTAAAAAAACAAGAGCAGTTGAAATCCAAATACCATGAAGATCTAAAAAAACAAGACAGGGTAATTTTCCAAAGTTGCCAAATCTGGGGAAATTCCCACCCACTCAACTTAGTCACAAATACAAAACGAAGAAGAAGAAACGGGAAAAAAATAAACGTCACGCGCTCATATCAACACAAAACAAATGTTAAGGCATGAAATAAATCTAATTTTGGCAATTAGAAAAGAGAAAATGGCACCAACCTTTTGTGTTTATTAATCAGTGACTGAATGTATGTTGATTGGATTGCAGAATCGCGATCGCTCCCGGTTCTTTGGTTAAAAAATTAATTTAACACGCTCACGGACACATAAACACATACTCATTCACATCCACATTCACGTTCACGGACACATGAACGGGTAAAAAACAAAACTTTTGTAAACAATTTTGCGATTAGGCATTTAGCTGCGCTAAAAAATATTGTAAATAAGAAGCAACGTAACGAATTAGCAGGCTGTGTTGGCATTTTATATAGAAAGAGATTAGAGCGAAATTATAATAACTATTTTTGCTGGATGTCCAAACACTTTGGAGGTGTTGACTTTTCAGATTAGATTACACTCATTTCACTCGGCTAATTATCAGCCATTTTGTTCAACACTAAATAAATCACAAACACGAAAACAGCAGCAACAAAAACCAAATCGATTAAAATAAAAAAGAATTCGCGAGAGAGAAAAAAAGTAAAATTATTCAGGCGCGCTATTCCACTTTGGACTCTACTTCCAATTGGAACACGCACCAAAGCTGATCGAACAATTGAAAGGGGAAGAGGAGAAGAGCAGGATGTTGGACATTCTCTGCTGGATACGTCACTCTCTCGATCATTGATTTGATTTTATTGTATTTTTATCCAGAACCTATTCTATTGTTACAAGAAAAACAACCAGAATCAGTAATAAAAAAAGGACAGACGATCGGGGTAAATAAAAGTATTTGTTCGTGGAAAATTTCCAGCAGGCGACGCCATGTGTTTGTTTGTGTGTGTAACAGCTGATCGCGGATTATTGATTTTTTATATGTACATCCAGAAGTAGCAAAAAAGATTAAGGCTTTCATTTATGAAACAAGGAACATTTTTTTGCGCACTCGCATTAACAAAGATCGATTGTTTTATCGTGGTGTTTTGTTGTTGCAATCCATTCGCGCACAATTAAAAGCTTTGTAAGCAGCTCAAATCGTAACAATATTATTCTTAAGCACCCACTTGTCCGATATGCTATCCTGGGTTCACATCGAGAATTCTTTACATTGCATTAAAAACTGCTGACACAATTACACGCACTGATCGCGAGTTTATATTCCAGGCGCAGGCGAAAAAATTGTTGAGCGAGAAACGAAAACTGGCAACAACAAAACCGACAAAACAAAACTCTAGAGGTGGGAAAATGTCGATGCCAGCATCGATACCCTTAATGATTTCAAAAAATCGGTCTTATCGATGTTTGGCAGGGTGTTGTTTATCCATCTTTAATAATTATTAACATTACTGTGGTCACACTGAAAAAGTACTCCATTTCAAGCACAAACATTTTTAATATCAGCTATACTGCACTCATTATTTAAAATTTTTATTCTATACGAATGTTTAGACCTTAAGAAATAAAGCCGTTTTAAATTTAATATTAAACATCGACGAAACATATATAATGTCCGCCTTCGAATACTCTTGTTGTTATTTTAGTCTTTTTCAACTTTAGTTTTTAGTATTTTTACCGTCGCAATAGGTGGCAGCGCGGGCGTGGATGGTGTCTCTGCTAACATGTCAGCCGAGTGTGGAGGCGAACCCCGCTAGGTGACAATGACAACAGTTTTAATTGAAAAAAACTGTTAGACTTGAACTGTAACTAAAAATACATTAAGTATTCAATAATTAAAGAGAAAGAGAACTTTAGCAAGCTTTATGAATTTTTTAAAATATAACTTACTTATCGAAATATAAAAAATAAGCAAAACCATTTTGTAGGTAATAATTTCCTTAATTCGAGTCTAAAGTCTATAGTCTTTAAAGAGCAAAAAATATACACTAAAAACAGTAATAGTAACAATTGTTATATTTCCATTTCAATGATAAAAGTAGAATTTATGACCCATAAATAATCTGAATTAGTTGCCTTGGCATGCCGTTCACACTTTGAGGGCCCACCAAAAACTCGTTAGCAACTTCAGTTCAGCCTGCGAATCAATAAAAGTGGCGCAATGCACTGAGGCCACCAAGGAACACAATAACGACACCAAAAACAGCAAAGTAGGCAAAATCAGAGCCACTGGGTTTCCCACTCCCACCATGACCATCAAAAGCACTCAATCCTTAAGGTCTTTACCAAATCCATGGTTACCAACGCCCAAGAATATTATAACAATTAAAATGTGATTACTCTTTGGCATATGAAAATAAGTACATCAAATGGTACTTTCCTTGCCTTTGCCTTTAATAATATAAAATCGGCACTCACCTGCTCGATGTCGAAATCCCACTCGGGAGATGGAGAACGTGCTGTTCGGCCGCCTGGAGGCGGCGTTCCCAATGCGGGGGAGCCAGCTTGGGGCTCTTCAGGAATCACGGCGAATCGACCCCGCTGGAGGATGGGCGAAATGGCGCCATAATTAGCTGCAACAGATTAGAAGAATGTCACCAATTAGCACCAATTATTTGCAATCGAGCACCTCGACCACAGGGTTCCAAGTACAAGGTTTGTATACACAATTAAATTAAATCCCAATACATTTAAGTAAACATGTATGCATAATAGCGGACTAAAATTCCATACTGCTACATTGTTTTGCAAATATTTTCAAGAAACAATTTAAATAAGAAGTTAATTTGGACCCTGAACTGCTTGTAACTTAAAATAGTAAGCAGGGCATATAAGCTTACTTCTTTAATTTTGTGCATGATAAGCGAGTGAAAAAAACGCGAAGATTGTAGTCGGTTGTCTATGACAACCTTTTAACATTAAGATTACAAAGAATCATAAAAGTTGCATCGACTTACATGTGGGCATGAGACGGAAGCGGCCAAGCGTTGTTTCTGGCGGACCTTGTGGTGTGGAAGAGGTGACGCGGAAGCGGCCACGGCGAGCGGCGGCCACGTCCTCATAGTTGCCACCGCCTGCCGTCCCGCCAGCACTGCTTTGCATCCTGTTTCTGCTGCTTCCTCGTCTGCCTCAGCAAAAACTGCAATGAAGAGTGAGAAAAGGGTGTTAGCCAAAATCAATATACAGCTTACACTGGGCCAGATTTATTTTGGTATTAAGATAAAATTTATTTAACAACCTATTTTTCCAGAATTTCAATAATACTGAAGCATATTGATAATGTATATCTGATCGATAATCCACAATATAGAGCCCTATCTGTATGATTTGTTGTATAATTCTAGTACACGCAAACAGTAATGTTTCTTTACTGGCGGACTTTGGAACTTTTAGCCCAATGTGCAATGGTCAGAGGCAGTCGGAGAGTTGGCTTAACGGGCTCATTGCACGCGAGTTTATTTAAGCTTTCTTGGCGCCCTAAAGCAGACTACATAGTACACACAGTGGACACACTCTCTCTCGGTGGAACTCATAATTGAAAATCTTGAAAAGTGCTCAAGCGAATGCTTTAAAAGTATGCCATCCAAGTCATTCAACTGCAGAAAGATCTAGGTACGGGGGTGGGTAAAACAGCTGTCTGCGCGACACGCGACAACGCGACGTATGTGTGATATTATTCCGTGATTGCCTACTAACAAAAAAAAAACGCTAGCCGAAC